GATGTGTTAGGAGGACTCAGAATGCTTCTCCAGTGGCCTGAAGTCCTGGGCAGGAGTTGGAAACTTAGGGTGCAGCAGATGCTCTTTTTTTCAAGGTGAACAGAGGCCGTGGACTGCCTCAACATGATGTAATTCATTGTTAAAAACATTTAATGACCATCCAGAATGCATTAGAAGAAGTGGTCCATCAAGAGAGACTGGCTAGACAAAGCAGTGTTGAGAAAGACGAGTAAAAGTGCAGGTCTCACAATGTCTGATTTCAAAGCTTACCATAAAGCAACAGGAATTTACTGACTTGAAAGTAAATATATTGACTAATAGAAAAAGAACAGAAATAATCTGTGAGTATACAGTCAGTTATCAAGAGTGAAAGGCAACTGGATGAATGGGAGAAAAATATTTATAAACCTTATATCTGATAAAAAGGTTATTATTTAGAAAAATAAATAACTACAACTCAAAAAGAACAAAGTCCAAACAATTTGATATCTAAGACATGCAAAGTATTTAAATGGATAATTCTCCAATAAAAACGTGCAAATGACCAAGAAGCACATATGAAGAAATCACTGATATTATGAATCATTATGGAGATGCAAATCAGAACCACACAGAGATATGAATTCGCATCTACTGGACAGTGTTATCAAAATGACAAGCATTGAAAAAAAAATGACAAGCATTGGTAATGATGTAGAGAAATTGAAACTCTCAGCAATGTAGGATGCAGGAATGTTGCAACCACCATCCAAAATAGCATGGAGAGTCTTCAGATTTCAAGACAGAATCACATGACCTAACCTAACTCTAACCTATCCCTGGGTGTACTTCCAGCAGAGCTGAAAGCAGTGACATGAGTATACTATGTTCCCAGAACAGTAACTACTGAAAGGTACTAATGACCCAAGTCTCGATAGATAGATAGATGATAGATAGATAGATAGATAGATAGATAGATAGATAGATAGATAGATAATATCTCGTATATATGAGCTAGAGATAAAATGAGCAAAGATGCAGTATATACTCAATTAAATATTATTTATCTTTAAAAAACAGTTTTGACACATGCTCCTGAGTGGATGAAGTTCGAAGGCATTGTGCTAAGTGAAATAAGCCAGGTATGAAAGAACACTCACTGCATAGTTCCATTTACATGAGGTTTTAGAGAAACAGAAAATAGACCTGAGGTGATGGGGGCCTGGGAGGAGAGCAGATGTGTGCTAGGGTTTAACAAAGACAGAGCCTCCATTTGGGAAGAGAGAAAGTTCTGGAGATAAATGATGGCTGCTTATAAAACACCTTGAGTATATTTGCTGCCACTGAACTATAACCTTAAAATGTTTGAAATGATCATTTCTAATGCACATTGCCCTACAATATGATGTAGGAAAACAAGAAGGGACCGACCTGACCTGGAGAAACCACCCCCCCCTCCACTTCTCTCACACTGAGTTCTGACCAGGATTGGCCTGCACTGAAGTACTGTGTGGGACAGATACTGTCTGTTAAGCATGGCCTGGAGCAGGACAAGCAGAAGACCCAGGGAGAGTTGTGTGGTCCAGCTTCAAAAATAGCTGTGTGCTCATCAGTGCTGCTTTGCAGTGGTGGGCGTCACCCTGGGAGGCTGAGAACTACCTGCCACTCAAGAAGGGCTGGTGTAAAGCAGGGAGAGGGCCACCCGGGACAGCAGGAGATTAGAACGACTGACCCCTATGACGCCATCGGACTCTCACAAAGCCAGGCTGATTTGCCCTTGATCTTGCTCTGCCCAAGATACAGGCAGGAGGCAATTCAGCTGAGGATAAGCCGACCCCCACTCTAGTCTCAGTCCTTTTGGCGATATTCGTTTGGCCTCAGATGAACCTCAGTGTAATGAACACCTGCTAGGACCTCCTTTGCCTCATTCTCGTTCACAAAGATACAAGAACAGTTAAGCAAGGACTTAAGAAGAGAGGAGATTATGGCGGACACCCTCCTGCCTTCCCTTCTGCTCTGCTTTCCAAAGGGAGTCAGTGGTATTTCCCAGATGTAGTCTGTGCACTGGGTAGTCTGGGAGATCACAGGATTAGTATACTAGGATTATCTAAGGAGGCATATCCTCATTACTGTGTGCTGGTGTGGAGCTGAGATTTATAGCTCTAGAGAGCTGCGTATGTGGACGAGCTGCACCCTGTGTCTCAGACAAGCTCACAGGGCTATGGAAAGGTGAAGAAGGAAGAGTGGTGGCTAACATACATGGTGAATGAAGAAGGTGAAACCCCTGAAGGTGAAATGTGACTGGTTAGGGTTGGGGAATCCTTGGGTGGATTGGGGAATGATCTACCTAATTAAGGGGAGCACAGGACAGGATTTTTCAGTTGATTGTGCTGTCTGACTTCCTTAAGAAGCCATACAGGGCATTTCTCAACCTGCTGAGAGCAACTAAGAAACCAAACTCAGTAGCAAGGTCTTCTAGCGGTGAAGTTGTGAGGTTGATCAACATCTACCTGCTTCCTTCATGAGCTCCTGCCTCGGCCTTTTCTAATGTCCTTATTCTACTCACGGGGCTCCAGCAAAGGAGAAGGCAGTGCTAACTCACAAGGCTGTCTAAACATTAGAAACCTGTTGGGCTCTTGCCCAGGATGTGTATGTCAAGGGCAGCTCCAGACGCAAAGGCCTGAAGTCCTGTCTTGGGTCCACTGCTGCCACCTGCTGCTACCCACAGGGAATGCTCTCCTGTGCCTGATGCTGATACTTGGATCCTGATTAGCTGGATGTCTCAGAACTGGGTCCTCAGGACATCCTAGAATGCCTGCCTTACTTGAAGAGAAGAAGGCTCAGTTGGGTATCAGTCAGAACTTGTCGCAGACCCCCCTTGGGGATGGGGAGAAGAGTAAGAAGTCTGTGAAGCAACTGTCTCTTCTGACAGCGCTGGGGTTGATAATAACAAACTGAAATTGCTCCCTTTCCTCTGTCCTCTATTACTACCTACTCTCCAAGTTTTAAATATTTTTCCTACTAAACAGCGGGAGTGAAGAACTAATTATCTTCCCTATTTTTATCATCAAAGACCTCCAATAGCAGTTAAATATCAAGTTGGTGGGATTCCACGTAAAAAACAAAAAGCCTTCGCCTTTTGTTAGCTGGTAGAGCTGAGTCAGTATTGGAAGATCCGTTTTCAATACAGTTTAAGGGGAATCTGGAAAATCCACCCTAGAGGAAAAGGCAGGCAAAGAGCAATGAATAGACAATTCCCATATGTATGTGAGTGTATACATGTGCATACACACATACACACACACACACAGAGAGAGAGAGAGAGAGAGAGAGAGAGAGAACCACTTTACTATCCATAACATATCTCAGTCTTTCATGCAAATCTCAAATATATATAATAGAATTTATCAAAAAACAAAATTTAGCCAGGCGGTGGTGGCACATATTTTTAATCCCAGCACTTAGGAGGCAGAGGCAGGTGGATCTCTGTGATTCTGAGGCCAGCCTGGTCTACAAGAGTTAGTTCCAGGACAGGCCCAAAGCTGCAGAGAAACCCTGTCTTGAAAAACCAAAACAAACAAACAAAAAACATAAAAAAACAACAAAATTTAAAGTGGACAATTGTCAATAAACATGAAATGTTCAGTTATACTAGTAACCAAAGAAGAACATTGGAAGGCCTTTATAATCCCACTGAAAAAGATTACACTCTGCTAACCGTGTGTGGGCAGTATTGCATTCATGGCACTGTGCGCAGTCCAATATCTACTTCCTGTGGCCATTTGAAATGCACATCAAAAGTTGAACCAGGCTAGTGAGATGGCTTATTTGTTGTCAAGCCTGACAACATGGAGGAAAGCTTCAAGTTGACCTCCACATATGCAGTTTGACAGATCTGCATTTGTACATACATACAACACACTCACACATGCACACACATGAAATAATATCAAATAATTTTTTTAAAGCTTTAACCATAGGCTTATTGTTTGGCTTAGAAATTTCACTTTGGAATTTGCTTTAGGGAAAGAGTCCTAAAATCTGAACAATGCATTTAGGTGTGCTTTTAGGAGAGAGACACCACAAATGTCCAAGGACGAGAGAGTCAGTGAGCAAATGACATGTTCCAGACCAGTGGTCTTCAACCTTCCTGATGCTGTGACCCTTTCATACAGTTTCTCACATTGTGGCGACCCAAGCCATTTTCATTGCTACTTCATAACTGTAATTTTGCTACCGTTAGGAATTGTAATGTAAATATCTGTTTTCTAGTGGTCTTTGGAGGTAGGAGCCTACAGGTTGAGAACCACTGTTCTAGACCATACACAGCCAGTGGGAGTAGGAATGGTAGGTAATATTTGATGGCATAGAAATAACCATGTCATAGAATAGAGACACGGCAGCCCATTATTTCATAGAACACGTGCATGGAAAGGACTGGAAATTAATGCATCGGTCACTGGCGGGTGGTATTTTTCCAGGTGATGGGATTAAAGTATTCTTTAAATTTTCTATATATTTTCATGTGTCTATTTTCTAAACTTGGTGCAATGATGAAATGTGGCTTTGTAAGAAAATAAAATCTTGATAACATTTTTTAAAAAGACTCAATGAGGTTTCAAGTTTAGTGAGATAGGGATCACAAGCAGGAATCCCTGGAGCTCGAAGTTGTTTGAGAGGTGAGAAATCAGAGGTAGGTACAGAAATGGAGAGCCACAGCCCATTGACCGGAGGCGATGCTCACTTCCTCCAGGATGGACTGAAGAGAGACAGCACGGGCTTATGTCAGAGGGCAGAGGCATCATTTTGCTAATGTGTGGTTCTGCTGAGTGACTGACCACAGGGGAGCTGCCTCTCTTCTCCTGCCCCTCTTCTCCTGCCCCAATGTCCCTTTCCCTTCACCAGACAAATACTAGCCAGCACAGATGGGCTTTCACTTGGCATAAGTCAAGAGAAAAGCATGGGAGAATGGGGTTCCAGAGCACAGTGAAGAGCCAGGCCCAGGCAGGCTAGCTACTGACCTCTAGGCATGTCCATGGGGTCGAAGCTGGCCAGGAGGTCACGGCACCACTGGCGGTCACCTTCCACCTTGCTCAGCCAGTTGTTGCAGTTGAAGTAGTAGCGGAGATGGGGCCTCTTCATGTCGGTCACTATCACCCGGTCCAGGTACCAGCTGGCGTTCAAGCCTGTGTTGTCGTGCTCGATCCTGGGGCAGAAGCCAACACCCACACTTCACTGGTAGAATCAGGATGTTGCGATGCCCCTTCTGTATGAGGGTACCCAATGACTACTTCCGAGAGGTCCAGTCATTTGCTTCCTTTGGTTTTCAGATTCCTCGTCTATTAATGGGGATATTTTGCAAGGCAGATGAGCATATTAATGACTGTTATATTGTCATACTGCCACAGGGGAATATTTGCTTTCACGGGAAAATCCAAGTCCCTGAGGGTCCCGGTAGGAGCGCCTTGAGCTGGCAGGGCCTGTGCTGCTTCCTAACCTCGGTCTCCGCCAGCGCCGCCCCCTTTCTGCTCTGCCCTGAGTTGTGCACATGCATCACCTTTGGAAGCCTATCAGAGTCACGACGAGAAAGGCAGCTGATCCAGTCCTTACTAAAAAGGATTGCTAAAAGGAAGGCGTGAAGAAAGAAGTAGAGCGCAGAAAGCACCTGGCCCTTTGGACTTGGCGGGACATGGCACCTGAGTAAACGGTCCTGTCCCATCACTCTTGAGTTATCAAGTTCCTCTCTTAGTGGCCCTCACCCTGGGCACCATCCCTAGTGTCATCATCCAAGGGTCCCCATCTAGAACAAGGCTGTCCCATAGACAGTTCATGTGAGCCAAACATACAATTCCAGATTGTTCTAGTAGCCTTGATCTTGAAGATATAAAGAATTGAACTGATAGAATTGATTTTAACAATATACTGTATCTTCCACTTACCATGTTAACATATGATCATGTAAAATGTAACAATGTGGTATACATTCTTTTTCTCCTGTTAAGTCTTTTTTAAAAACAAAAAAACCTGGTGTCTATTTTATCCACACAACACACTTGGTGTGAGTCAGCTGTATTTTAAGTGCACAGCAGCCACAATGCCTTCTGTACTGGGTGACATAGAAACCAGAGTCTTCTGGATCAGTGCTCCAAATCTTCTCACTTCCCACAGCCCCCACCTCTGCCTAATTTCTTCCCTAGAGCATGGCCACTGGATGCCACCAGTCCATCATTCTGAAGCTTTATGCCAGGAACTCACAGTCCGGTACAACCCATGACCCCAATAAACAGATGACCAGTCCGATACATTGGGCCTGTCCTCTACAGGGTCACATGCCTCTGCCTGGTCAGACCATTTCCTACAAACCTCCTTCCCCTCCTGACCTCCCTGAGAGAGTTCCCTCTCTGCTTATATTCCCTTCCCTGTACACAACCAGTACCTGTGGCTCTTGTATCCTCTCCCAGCAAAGGGACTGTGTGGTCCCAAATTTTCTAGTGGGAAAAAGAAGAGTCAGGACTGAACGGAAACTGCATTTGAGCCCTGTCCAGGCCCCAGTTATGGACAATCAGCCCACAGATGAGCCTAAAGTAAGCATAAACTGGAATGGGGTGGTGAGGCAAGACTAGGAAAGGAAGAAGGGAACGATCAAATGCTCTTCCTTTGTAGCCAGGCTAGAGGTTATCCCTTTTCATACGGCTCCCAGAAACTCCCCCAGTGAGAACAGCATCAGGGGAACTTTCATCCAAAGGAATCTTGAAGCAAAGCCCTCACTGAGGGCTTAATGACTGCTCTACACACAGATTTGGTGGGCGCTAGCATTATATAGATGAAGTACCATTATTAGAGAGGAGGAAGCAGAGGTGTGGATAGGTAAATTGTCTATAATCCTGCAGCACAAAACAGCAGAGCAAGACCTTGGACTTGGACCTAGAGCTAGAGCTCTGTTCCCAATTATCATGCTCCCGTGTTTGTAAGAACTTATGTCTCAAGTGTGTGGGGAATTGCATCCAATTGTCCAGCCTGTGAAAGCAAGTCTCTAATGGTGTGGTTTGGAGCTCTGTGATTCAGGATAGGGGTCGGGGTGAGATGGGAAGATGGGACACAATTCTGACTTTTAATAATTCCTCAAATGTCAGTCAGTTGAGAATTAAATATCCAGAAAATGCCAATTTTGATTATCACCACTACCATAGGTTAGGGGCAAACTCTCACCTGATTTTATAGATGAGGCCCACGTTATTGGTCCGCACCCGGAATACGTCTACGTTGGCTTTCTCGAAAGCGGATTCACTCCTGCAGAGAACAGGGCCGTCAGTCCCACTCACAGTGTGTCTCGTGGACCCAGGATCAGAGCCAGAGGCTGACACCCTCTCCTCCCTCTTTATCCCACGCATGGGAAGAGCAGCATGCACCTGGCTACCGTTCTGAGCTCTCTCCCTGACACGGTCTGAGAGGAGAGGAAGGTCAGGCAGGCGCCACGCTTAGGCTCACATTATCACTATGAGTCACTAACACAGGCATAGTGGGTGACACCAGTGCCATTGTGCGGACATGCAAGCCACTAGAGGTAGAAGAACCAGGATCTGGTCGGGGTAGAAGAGAAGGAGGGTGTGATGGGTGCCTGGAGCCTCTTGTCTGCAGGTCCCCTTGCAGGTCACCCTCACCTGCCCCATTCTGCGAAAAGAATTGCAATGGCAGCCCCAAGTAGATGCAGGCCTTGGGTAGCAACCTGTGCCCCTGCCATTCCAAAGAGAAAGGGGAAACCTGCCCCACACCCCCACCTCTAGTCCAGTAACCATGGAGGTTAGATCAGTAAGGGTATCAAGACAAACATCTGGCAAACTGCCGCCAGAGGAAATACACCTGAGGCATGAGACAGCGCAAGGCCCAGGCAAGTCCCAGCTTCTGCGCACTCCAAATTCAAGTAGCTACGCCCAGGAGGCTCAAGGCTCCTTGCCCCAGGATCTTCTGGAGTGGATACCGAAGTTTCATGTTGGCGTCTATTTCATCCTCCACAGGAGCTAAGAACGCAGATGTGAGAGCCCAGACCTCCAAGCAGTTCTTCCTGCCTCATAGCTGGGCCCTCTGGTGTGAGGGACTCTGCTCTCTCAGCCAGGGCTCAGCACACGGCCAGGGAGAAAAGGAAAGTGCAGAAGATATTTGCCTAGGCTGTGCTTTACACCTTAAATGTGTTCCCAAAGTCCTCGTGAGCCTCACACTTCACACGTGCCCAGTCGCTAGTTGGAAACCTTTAAGAGGTTGGAGCTGGGGGTGTAGGTCAGGGCACTTTTCTGGCATGCACGAGGCCCTGGATTTGATGCCCAGAACTGTACAATGAAGGAAATAGGGCCCAGGGGAGGATGCCCTTGAAGAGGGTGTAGGGACCCTGTGAGGACTCCACTTTCTCTCCTTGTTTCCTGGTTGCTGTGAGTTGAACAGCTCTACTCACAACTGGTGTTTGCTTTTTTGGCCCCAAAAGCAAAGCAGCCAACTGATCACGGACCAAAACCTCCAAAACCTCAGAGCAAAATAACCCTTTCCTCTTTCCAGTTGGCTTATTTTAGGTATTTGTTACAGCCATGGAAAGCTAAATAATCCGAGCTTATAATGATTACTGGCTGTCTGTGCTCTTCAAAATAAAAGGGTAAAGGGCTTTCTCCCCAGGCCACAGGTCAGGCCTAGAGAGCCTTCCAGGTTCTTCCAGGTCCGGAGGCTGGGATTCTGCAATGGACCCACTCTGATGAACAATCTTTCTTTAAGAGGCAGGGACACAATCGAGCAGGGTCCAAGCCTCACACGAAAGAGCAGAGGCCAGGAAGATACACACTAAGACAGCCTTGTCAAGGAAACGAGAACCCGAGAAGAAACCTGGGGACAGAGAAGTAAGAAGAGGAGTGATGGACGTGTCTGGCTATCTGTAGGGGAACGGGGACCCCCTAGGCTGGTGGCACCTGCCTGAGCTCAGGTGGGTGTTGTCCAGGGAGAAAGGGGCGGGGGGGGGGGGGTCAAGCAAGGCCATTTTAAGTGTGCAATCAAAACGTTTCCTCCAAAGAATGAGTTCGTCTTTTTCCTGGGGAAATAAGGTTTCTGGGTCCAGTGTAGAAAATGGAATCAAACCAAAACAGGTCTGTGAAGGTCTGCTGATGTGGGGGTTGCATCTGTGGGGGTAACGGGACACTTCAATCCCTGATTCTGTCTCAGTCGCTGTGAAATAACTTAGAAAATACATGGACATCAATTCTTCGCGTTAAGATTTTGTGAATGAGAAACAGGAAAAAATGAATACATGGTATTTTCTTTTTGACACAAAGTAATAGCTTTTTAGAATAAATCAACAAAAATTTCTGCATTAAGTAAACACCCTAAGGAATAGACGCTGTATGATTGAACACTTTGTAGCTATTAGGGATCCTATTATAAAAAGAACATGAAGTTTATAAGCTTAAAAAATATGTTAAGATAGACTCTGAGAGCAGAACAATTGATACAAATGGGACATCATCTTCATTTAAAAACAGCGAGTGGGAAAATTTATACAAATATATAATGTCACATCTAGAGGCTAAGACAATAAAGTCTTATTTGTGCTTAATCTATATAAATTTTCACATTTTCTGAAAGGAACCCATACTGTTTTTGTGATTCTCCGTGCTTCAGAACCCCTCACCGCACCTCCTGACACCCAACGCAGCTCATGGGCTGCCATGGGTGTCTCCAAAGGTCTGAGGATGGTAGGTGTCATCTAAAAGTTCAAGGAACCTGGGAAACAGGCTACAGGAAGTAGAGGGCAAGGAGGGAGGTGTCCCCGGACCATTTCAGCCAATAATAAGATAGCTGGGTTTCTGAGGCGCCTCTGAAGAGGATTCTGGAAAAGAAGTTCTGAGAGCTGCCCTCAGCAAAGGGGAGCCCTAAAGGCATGGCACGCTCCATAGTACTTACTGAAATCAGCCCATGCTACTGTGCAGCCACGGCCTGGGGAACAGAGAAACAGGGGCGGGGCGGGGCGGGGCGGGGCGGGGCGGGGGAGCTCCGCCTGACCTACAGGGGCGGGGACACTCTAGGCAGTCTAAAGGCCGCATGGTGGGAGGCAGGGATGGTTCCTGCTCACGTGTGATGTTAACGTCGCCCAGAGACCAACCTGTTTCTGACATACAGGAAAACTCCATCTTCAGAGAAGAAAGGGCTGCAGACAAACTCCATTGGCACCTGTCCGTTCTCAGGGAAAGACGGGGACCATCCCAAACTAGCCCTCAGCCCTACCCACTCTGGGACCGGATCTGAAATGCCCACTTGCAGAAAGTCAGGATGCAAATACTATAGAAAACTGACCAAGGATGGATTAGAAATCCCAAAGGAAACAGAAGTGCAGGCTCCTGGCGTTTCCCAGCGACATGAGGGCCCCACCATAGCTCTGGCACCAGATAAAGCTCCCTGCTCCCATCATCACTAGGCAGGGACTTCCCCAGAGAGAGCCTCTGAAGGCCGTACCTGGCATCTTAGCCACCAACTAGGCAGAGCCTCCAGACTAAAATGCCAGGGACTCTCTCACACACTGTAGCGTGGATTCTCAGCAGGAAAGACAGCATTCATAGCATACATGAAACCCCATCCTTTTGCCATATAACTCGTAGCCTCCTGGGATCATTTTGTGGGGACCTCACTGGGGTAGAGATTGGATGAGGGAACTGTGTGGGAACTAAGTGAATCACACATCTTGGCTGCCTAGGAATCCAATAGTAAAGATCTTCTTGAAATAGGAATTGTGTTATATTGAGTGAGGGGTGAATCCTGCTAAGCCATGTGGGATTCTGTGTTCTAGGATACAGGAAAGGGCACAAGAATGAACTCAAATTAGGCTGAGACAGAAAAATGGAGGACAGGAGACAAGAGATGAGAGATGCAGCCAGAGGCTATGGAAAGGGTTTGGGAGAAATGCCAGGGAAGATCAAAGTTGAATTTTAATACTGAGGGAGCTGCAACTTATTTGTTTGCACTGGGCATTGTGAGCCCTTTCTCAGGCCCAGAGCTACCAGAGAAGTCTTACAGACAAAAGTGTGTGTGTGTGAAAGAGAGAGAGAGAGAGAGAGAGTATGAGTGTGCGTGTGCGTGTGTGTGCCACGCACGTGCATACATGCATGTATACAAGGATCCATGCTGCAGGTAACTCAGTGGGTTTGGTTTAGAGCTGGTTTGAGTGTGAGGAAGAGGAACGGGCAGACAGTGAAGTGCGGGGAGACAGGTGGAGGCAGCACATCCTGTATTAAATGGGGACTCAGAAGTGACCTCAGCTGCCACCCACGTGTGACACATCCCAAACCTTCAGCAAATCCCATTCCCCTCCTGAACTCAGTTTCCAGCTTGAGTGGCATTGATGTCGTGAGCAGAATTCTGCACAACTGTCTTTGTAGTCTTTCCCCTCGATGTCTCGCTGCGGCCCGATCCTGACCTCTTGCTCACGATTACGGTGACATCAGCTGCCGCTGTCAACTCAGCATCCACTGACTGGCTTTCAGGCAAGACTTTCTAGTCTGGCCTCTAGCCTTTCCCATATGTTTCAAGACAGCAACATGGTTCTCACTGGCAGTTCCAGCTGGCTCCACCCAGGGCACCTTCCCTGTCCACAAGCCTTGCAGACAGTCTCTCTGGGTCTAGTCCATCTTTCGTATTCCTCTCTTATCCTCGTTCATTTCAGCACTGAAGACTTAGGTTGTGTCTTTCCCTGTGAAGTGTCACTCTGACTACGTGATGTTTTAGGTATCTGCTGAGTTCTGCCTGTTCTCTATGACCCAGGACAAGGACAGAGGCCCAAGAAACCCAACTGCACCTCCACTACAGATCCATCACTTCCTTTCACAGTACTCTCTAGTCTCAGCAGCACCCAGCTTCTATCCCCACCCAAGTCCACCCTCACACTGCTGTCAAGCTGCCCTGACTAGCGGATGGAGCTCTGGTCTGCTCACATATTTTTTGCTTCCCAGGCTCAAGCGTGACACAGACCTAGGCAGATGTTCTCTCCGGGAGCCTCCCCAGCAGACCCCAGTGGTCTCTGGGATTGCTGACGCCTATCCCTAGGCTGATCTGGGGAAGCGGGCTCAGTGACAACCCTTCTCTCTTGGTGTGTTCCATCAGTGATCTGGGCCTCCCTGAAAGAAAGTTTGGTAAACTGACAAGCAGGAGGGAAGAAGCAGAGGATGCTGGGTACGTAAAAGGAGGAAAGACTGTGAGAACCCACGACAAAAAGATAAAGGGATGGTTTTGCTTTAAAAGGCAGGCTGGGGACCACAAAAACCAGCTGGCCACCTTCCCAGGGCTAGTAGCATCTCCTTCTTCTGGGAGGAGGCATGGCAAAAAGGATGACTATTTCATGTATTCCCTTTACCGTGCCCACGTCACAGGAGGGAAAGACTTCCACGAGAGTCACGTTCAGTATGAGTAGAGCAAGGAGGCGGGTACCCTGTTCTGCAGAAACGGACAAAAGAAGGGGTTATGCTCATCTTAACATTGCTACGTGCGTGCCGCGGCTCTTAGTCGGGGCTCACACATCACAAGACTGGTCACTCTGCAAAGCGCCGTGTCGCAGGTCTCCTAGCATGACCACGCCACCTCTCTACACCTTCACTTCTTGCCCCCTAGAGGTCCCAGGCCACAAACCTTAGGGACCACAACCTGTGGAACCTGTGGGTCTAGAACGGAGCCTATTGCATACTCCAGGGACACAGAGTTGTGTCATCAATTAAAATGTCTATAGCACCAATGTCAATGAAGGACCAGGTTTCACAGACCCATACACACACACACACACACACACACACACACACACACACACACACACAAAAAACCAAACTGAAGGTCTGTGAGCTTCTTCCTCGGCCTCAGTTTTCCTATGAATGGACCAGATCAGTAGATTTAAATGGCTGTGGGACTTTTCCTCAATTAGAATCCTGCTCAGAAACCCGGAACGTCAGATAATCAGAAATGGGACTGCTCTGAAAAGTGAAGGCATAGTGGGCCCAGACCCACTACTCAGATTTGCCAGACAGTACAGGCTGACTGAAAGCCAGGTAGAAAAACCACTCCTAAGACCCCTAGGCAGATACGAAATCCTGTCATTCTTCAGTATGCTCTTGAGTCTGGTGTGTGTGTGTGTGTGTGTGTGTGTGTGTGTGCACTGCACACATACACATGACATGTGACTGAGTGTACATGGATCCCAGGCAGGTTTAGTGTGATACTGGCCATCATGAGACCTCGGGATAGAGCATCTCAAGATCTTGGCTCCTTCACTGATCTTCATGACATTCATTGTCTCAACTGCCTTAGGATGGTAGTTAAGGAAATAAAGGCCCTGGAGACCATGAGATTTTGGCAAAGTTACATGGAGCAGAACAGTAAAGCTGGTCCTAGACCCAGGGCTCTTGGTCCTGATTGTTTATTCTCCAATATCAAGGGATACTCATGGGTATCCTTTGGAAGATCTAAACTAGACATTACTTTTTATAAAAATCTAGAATGGGACAAAGGAGAATTGGAAGGAAAGCACTGGGAAATCCTCAAGATGATATTTGGATTGTTGACAGAGAAATCTTGTCATTCAACATGGCTGTGGTCTAACCGTTCACCTCTACAGAGAAGAAGGCCACCCCTGGGTTCTAGAACTTGGCCAACCAAACTAATCTCCCAGGATCCCCACAAGCCATAGTAGTACTCACTTGCTGGTGAGATGGAGTTTGGGAGAGAGCCCATTCTCTCCAAAAATTGTGATGAACACATTGGCATCTGTCCCTGCACCACGAACATCCCCTGTGGCTGTGACCACCTCGTACACTGGAGGAGAAAAAAAAACAGATTGTAGGCTCAGAAGAGAACCCAGAATCCCATTCTCACAATCCTGAACCAGGTCAAACCCACACTAACTCTAGACCGAAGCTCACAGTCGGTGCCAGACACTGCTTTTGCATAGGAATCTGAAAGTATAGACAGAAGGCCAGCTTCATTCTGCATGGGCAAGCCCCCCAAGGGCAGAGTATGCAGTTCCCCCAAGGGCTGTGTCTTTGGCAGGGACACTGAGTTCCCTGCCAATGACCTTTTTGAAGCTTGTATGGCTTGTTGCCAACACCATTGCTGTTCAGGGTGTCAGCACCTGCGTACTTGCTGAGGGAGAATCTATCAAGATCCTTAGAAATGACGGTGTGGTGCTTCGAATGAAAATGACCCCCGTAGACTCACACAGAGTGGCATTATTTGGAAGGATTAGGACATGTGGCCTTGTTGGTGTAGGTGTGACCTTGCTGGAGGAAGTGTGTCACAGGGGGTGGGCTTTGAGGCTTCAGAAGCTCAAGCCAGGTCCAGAGTCCCTCTCTTCCTGCTGCCTGCCAATCTAGATGCAGAATTCTCGACTCCTTCTCTAGCACCCCTGCCTTGACATGGTGGTCTAAATCTCCGAACTGTAAGCTAGCCCCAAGTAAAGGTTTTCCTTTATAAGAGTCACTGTGGTCATGGTGTCTTTTTATCGCAATAGAAACTTAACTAAGACAAGAAGGCTCTGCTACAACCAAGGGGACTGGGTAGGATGAGTGGAGGCATTCAGCATCCAGGAGTGTTGGCGAAACTTTAGGAATGTGTCTTGAATCCATTTTTGGAATCAACTCCCAGAAATCTAGCACAGACCCGACCTGAACAGGGTTGTTGCAGTCAGCCACCCCCAGAGCCACGTCACCTCTGCTGAGAAGTGGGAACAGCCACACACCAACCTATCCAGCTGCTATTCCTATCTCCCAATAAAACGTGTGTCCCCAACGTGTTTTATGAAGAGACTCACTTCTGAGTCAGTGGTGGGCTGGAGACGCTGATTCAGGGGACCAACCACACATGTGTGCAGCGAGGAAGGCTGACCGGAAGGAGATGACTGTGTTGGGAAGGAGGAATTTGCAATGTGGAGAGCTGGCAAATGTGGGAAATGGTATTTGAAATCTGCAGGGCCTGTGCCAGCTGTTCACCACATTATGGCAGTGTACAAACATCAAATGCTTGTAACTGTATCACAACCAGCACTGACTGATGACTTACTAGGTGCCTAGCCCTGAGCTAGGGGCTTCACGCCCACCATCACACTTGATCATTGCTGCAAACCCAGTTCACTCCTATTTCTGGCCTTTTCAGAACAGATCCCCCACTTCAGAGTATATTCGAGCTCTTTTGAGGAGGTCTTGTGGATTGCGTTACCATTTGAGAGTTTAACATTCATCATTCAATATTACCCATCCGCAGCCCATTCCACAGGAAGGTTTTGTCTCACATACAAAGTAGCAAAGCTGAGGGGTGGAGGGTGGGGAATAAGAATCCTTCTGAGCACCTGTAGCATTCTGGGCCTGGAGAAGGTGTATTCCGATTATCCCACTGCAAACCCACAAGCCTCTACACGCTGGGGCAAAGTGTTGGGCATCAACACCACAGAGATCTAGAGGTAGCCACTTAGAACCAGGATGGCTCTTTCCAAGTAGCTACCTGCCTATAAGACTGGATAGTAATATCTGCTTTGCAGTACTATTCTGGGAATTGAGAATGTAGAGGCCCTGACACATAGAAGACAATAAATAGCCTTTCTTTTTTGAAGCTATTGTTCATGCAGACAAAGCCCATTTTGTCCAAAAGCTAGCCCCTGTTCCTTCAGCGGACAGTGTATTAGCTCAAGCATCACGAACATGGCGTGTGGTTAATTCTGAATCCCTTCAGGGGCATCTCTGGTCCTAATGTGATTCTTCCTCGCCTGTGAAGAATGGGATCTGCAGTGTCTGGAGCTGAGAGGAACAATGCATCTCCCCAGTTCTGACAAAGCTCGGCAGAGGAGCCAGGCATGGGGAAAGAAAGTAGTCCATGCACTTGGACTCTGCCTCTCATGAGACTTGTTGTAACATGAGGGCCAGCTTGTTGGGGTTTCTATCCTGCCTGGTACCCCTCAGCCGGCAAGTTCCAAAGAAAATCAATCACACAGAGATCTCTATAAGTTATAAAGCTGATTGGCCCATTAGGTCAGGCTACTTATTAGTTCTTATGACTTATCTTAACCCATTATTCTGATCTATGTTAGCCATATGGCTTGGTACCTTTTTCAGCTGGGCAAGTTACATGCTGCCTCTTCAGTGGTCTGCACAGGAGTGGCTGAGGGCTTCCTGTGTCCCAGAATACTCCCAGTCTCTTTGCTTCACCCCTACGTCCTGTCTGGATTTCCCGCCTATACTGCCTGCCTGACCAATCAGCGTTTTATTAAAATATGATTGACAGAATACAGACAATTCTCCCGCACCAACTTGTGACAAGGCTTGAGTCACCACAGTCTACACCTCAGGGGAAACCGTTCAGCGGCAGGGCAGCCTCGAGTGCTGCTCATGTTATTTGTGTGTGCACAGGGGCATCTCTGAGTCAAGCCGACACAGGAGAATGACCAGCTTGATGGAAAGGCCAGGGCCACGTCATTGGGAATTTGTAGAAAGAGACCCAAAAGGACTTAGAGAAGAGGAAGATATGGGCTCCAGGAGGTGTGGGAGCTGACTCGCTAGCTCCCTCAGACACGGCTACTCCTGAAGTCAGATGCTCGCTATATAGAAGTTGCTCATCTGAATTTAATTATAGTTAAGGCCATCAAGGAAATGACAGTGAGTCACAGATGAAAATATGGCACCTGGAATGCATCCAACAAAAGACTCATACCCAGAAAGTATGAATAATTCACATCAACAAATCAGACAGGGACTGCATACTTTTAATACACGATTCTGTAAAAGATAGACAATCACTTATCATATGATCTGAAACTTCCTGTTTTAGTTTTTGACCCGAGAGAGACAAAACCAGATGCACAGATGCATAGAAACCCAAGAACGCAATGTTCATAATAGCTTATTCTGAGCAGAGCTGAGTGAGAAACCACCTAAATAACCATCAACAGGTGAATGGGTTAGCAATCCATAGTATACCCACACCCTGGGTACCACTAAGCCGTGAAAAGCAACACGCTACTGGCACATGCTATGTAGCACATATGTAGACTAAGAAACACTCATTCTTTACAATGCTATTTGTGGGAAGCCATCAATAGCAAATAGGACCTACTTTACCAGGAGGCTGAAGAGTGGCTGCTTGGAACAGGAAGCTGGCAGGGAACAATGCTTTCTCTAATGTAAATATTCTTCACATTGACTTGTCACATGGGTATAATACTAATCAAGTAGGACATTTTAAATAGATGTTCTCTATAATAAGTTTCAGCAATGTTGAAAAGTGCAAAAGTGTCTTAATGTGTCATCAAAGATGTCCAAATAGCCACCAAATACAGAAGATGTGCAAATAAACATGTTCGGTCCCATCATTCATCAGGGAAATGAAAATCC